GGCTACTTTCTTAACTATTTTAAAGGAGGACATGAACCTAGCAATTTACTGTTTATAAGTCCCATTCGTGCCTAGTATCTCTTTAATACTTCATGAAACCTTATACAACCCGTAGTGAGCTCAATGCTCATACAGGCTGGGTGGCCTCAGGCAAGTTGCTTGACCTCTCTGAGCCTCAAGCTCTTGATGAGTTTTATAGGGATAATAATAATGTCAAGGAGTTATTGTGAGGTTTAAATTATATCCCATGTGAAAGAAACCAACGCAATATGTATCATCAATGTCACCATCATCATCATTATTATGAGGAAGGCATACCCCAGGTAAGGGGGTTGAGGTGGAGATGGGGGGCTATGAAAGCAAAAAGGCAGAGAAAGGTAGACTAATACTAATAACAATACTGAGAATGATACCAACAACTTCCACCAACTTTTCCTGAGAGCTTACCAAGTACCTTGTATATGTTCTGGGCACAGGCATGTGTAATATGTCATTTAACTTTCCACAAAGAGGTGGTATCGTGTTTCCCCCGGTAACAGATGGGGAAACTGAGGTGACAAGCTGGTAAGCCCAGGATGCAAATCCAGGGCTGTGATGGCCTCTGCCTCAGAGAGTGGTACCAACTCAGAGCTGTCAGGGTCAGACAGCTGCCCCTGTATGGTGGGTACAGCTTTAGGGGTACAACCTCCCTACATCCAGTGCCTTCTAGGGTCTCAGGGGCTCAGGGTGAAGACACTTCTGTTTGGAAGATGATGACCAGGCCCAATCTCCATCCTAGGCCTCAGCAAATCCTCAGAATCCACAGAGATTGACTTCAGGACCCTCTCTCTAAATTGTCCTCATCCCTATGTCTTTCTAATGCCCATTCCCTAGGACTGACCATGAAACCACTTCCTGGATAGTATCCCTGCTCCCATAGCAGCACTTAGCATTTCCACAGTGCCTTTCCTAAAGCCCTGGGACCTAAACGCCCCCTGAACTAATTCATACTAGGCTGTGAATGACTATCACAGCTAACTGCCAATTTTCCCACCTGTATTCCTCAGGTCACTCATGATGCAAGATGCTCTGCCAAAAAAATAAAAGATAATAATAGTTGTGTGATCAGATAAGTTTGGGAAAGTCTGAATACTCTATTCTCCCTTCCAGAGAGTCATAATACACATTAAACTCTTGCAAGCTGTGAGAACTCCTGCAGTGTCGACACCAATGGTACCCAAAGCTATAGGACATAATTTTTTTTCAAGGAACAAAGTAACAATATCCCCAAATGGCCATTGATAAATCCTAACTGAGGAACCCTGGAGTGTGGGGATAACATCAGTGTCCCTCCAACTATAATGTAAATCCTTCAAGGGAAGGGATTTGTATCTGATTTGTTCCCTTTTAGATCCTCAGTGCCTGTAATAGTGTTTGGTACATAGTAGACGTTTGATAAAAGTTTGTTGAATGAATGAATGGAGGTGAGTTGGAGAATGTCAGGAGGTCTGTGTTCTAATCCTGACTTTGCCTCTAACTCACCGTATGTCCTTGGGCAAGTCCCCCTCCCTCCCTGGTTTCCACTTCCCTACATGTAAGAAAGGGAAGAGGCTACATTACACGTTTACAGTGGGGGCAATAGTGCCCCCAAAGAGGTGAAAATTGGTTCTTGAGGAGCAAAGAAACCCCCTAAACTTTATTCTTTTTATGTATAAAGCACAGATATACACATTGGACATACACAGATATACATTATATCTGTGGTATTAAGATTCCACGGAGGAGAGGGGTGGCAGTTTGGAAAACAATGTCTAAAAAGACTCCGGAGAGTGGCAATAATGAAAACAAGCTTGAGAAACACTAGACTTGATCTAGAAGGTTCCTTCTAGGTCTGACAGTCTGTGAATCCCTGATTCTAAGTGAAAGGATTGGTGGAAAATGTCTGAGGGAACAGGGAACAGCAAGAATCAAAAACCTCAGGCAGGAATAAACCTGGTGTTATGGACTGAAGTGTTTCCTCCCAAAATTCACAAGTTGAAGTCCAACCCCCAATACCTCAGAATATAAGGGTATTTAGAGAAAAGGTCTTTTAAGAGGTAGTTAAGTTAGGCTTTTAGGGTGGGGCCCTAATCCAAGAGGACTGGGGTCCTTATAAGAAGAGAAAGAAGCACCAGGGGTTGACGCACAGAGGCAAGGCCACGGGAGGACACAGGGAGAAGGTGGCCGTCTGCAAGCCAAGGAGAGAGCTCTTACCAGAAACCAACCCTGATGGCACGTTGATCTTGAACTTCTAGCCTCCAGAACTGTGAGAAAGTAAATTTCTGTTGTTGAAGCCATCCAGTCTGTGCTATTTGGTCTTGGCAAACATAGCGAACGAATGCACCTTGGATGTTTAAGGAAGCATCTCTATAGGGACATGAGGTCAGAGAGACCACAGGGGAGGCAAATGATGGCCAGCCTTGTAGGACTAGGAAATGTTTTGTTTTGTTCTTGGAGTGGAATGGGAAGAGTGGGAGGGTTTTGAGCAGGGGAGTGAAGATCTGCCTTACATTTTTTTTTTTTTTTTTGCGGTACGCGGGCCTCTCACTGTCGCGGCCTCTCCCGTTGCGGAGCACAGGCTCCGGACGCGCAGGCTCAGCAGCCATGGCTCACAGGCCCAGGCGCTCCGCGGCATGTGGGATCTTCCCGGACCGGGGCACGAACCCACGTCCCCTGCATCGGCAGGCGGACTCTCAACCACTGCGCCACCAGGGAAGCCCTGCCTTACATTTTTAACAGGACCGCTCTGGCTGCTGGGTGGAGAACAGGTTGTTCAGAGGCAAAGGTGGGACCAGGGAGACTGAGGAGAGAGGGGAGGATGGCTTGGACCAGGGTGGGAACAATGGGGATGGTGATAGGGGACTGCGTTCTGTTACATTTTGAAGGTGCAGACATCAGGATTTGCCAGTGGATTGGATTGTGGGTGTGAGAGTTTTGGGATTATTCCAAAGGTTTGGCCCAGACAGCTGGAAAAGTGTAGCTTTGGTTTTGGATGGATTCTGTTTGAGATGTGCATTAGATATCCACTCGGAGGTGTCAAGGAGGCAGCTGATATTCAGGGATGGAGTTCAGAGGAGAGCTCTGAGTAGAGAGAGACAAGCTCCAAGGAAGAACAGCCTCCCCATCCCTCTCCCATCATCTGCCCCAGGCCCATTCTTATCTACCCTACACACCTGTGCTTCCCCATCACAGCACGTATCACAGGATACTATAGTCCACTGTAGACTTGTCTGTCTTCCCCATCCAGCTGGATGAGAGAAAGGACTTTGTGTATCTTGTTTACCATTTCCCAGGTGCACAGTAGGTCCCAAGCAAATGATTGTTTGAATGAATGGGATGCCACAAAGTGGGGTTAAAAGTTACTGAAGTGCAAATGTTCCCAAACACTTCCCTCCCCTTCCTGAGCCAGATAATGTTATCTTTCCAGCAGGCTGTTCAGAACCCCACCCCTTCCTGATTCTGTCAGACTTACTTATGACAAAGGAAGATTGTCTAGAAGAATAGCCAGATGGCTTATGATTGTTAAGACAATCTATATGTAGGGAACCAGGAGAGAGAGTAAGGAAGGGTGGGGGTGGGGAATGTTTGTGTGGATCTTGCCACTCAGGCTGCAAATGGAATAGGAGTTTATTTCTTTGTTTTAAAAACTTTTAAGGTGGAAGATGTTAAATGAGACTCCAGAGTAGTATGTGAGAAAAAACTGGGGAGAGAGAAAAGGAATGTGAGAAGCTTTAGGGGAGAGAACTGGCTCCCTCCATGCATGGCTTTAAAAAACACAAGCTTGGGACAATTTATCAGGAAGACAGCAATCATAAATATATGTGCACCTAATAACAGAGCATCAAGATTCTTGAAGGAAAAAAACAAATCAGGAAGCAAAACTGGACAAAACTAAAGGGAGAGGCTGATAAAGCCAGATCGTAGTAGGAGATACTTAACAGCCCTCTCTGAGTGATTGATGAAAAACTGACTTTTTAAAAATGTGGCAAAAGGATATAGAAAAATTTAACCAACATTGTGAACCAGCTCAACCTAATCAACATTTATAAAACACGATATAGTAAAAGCCCCCTACATACGAACGAGTTCCGTTCCGAGAGTGTGTTCGTAAGTCCAATTTGTTCGTTAAGTCCAACAAAGTTGGCCTAGGTACCCAACTAATACAGTCAGCTATGTACTGCTGCTTTTAGTCTTGCTTCTGGACATCCTAGGCTTAAAATAAAGATACCGTACTACTGTACTCTACAGTACTGTACAGTAAAGTATACAGAAGCACAGCCACTACTAGAGGATGCACGCACGTGACAATGTACGCCAGACACGTGAACTAACTGATGTGACTGGACACATGAACGCACGTTCGCATCCTTGAAAGTTTGCACCTTGAAGGTTTGTATGTAGAGGACTTACTGCAGCTAACAACTGCAGGATTTAAACAGTTTTCAAGTCTATCAAAAATAGACCATAAGCTGGGCCATAAAATAAGTTTCCATTCATTAGAATGTTGAAATCTTGAGTATGTTCTCTGACCACAATGGACTTGAATAACAAATCAATGACAGTAAAATATCTAGAAAATCCCAATAAAATATCTAGAAAATAAATATTTATATACCACACCTTTAACCCATGGGTCAAAGAAAAAAATCAAGGGAGACTAGAAAATATCAAACTGAATGATAATGGAAACACATCAAATCAAAATTTCTGGGGAGCAGCTAATGTAGTATTTGCAGGGAAATTTATAGCTCTCAACGACTATACTGGGGGGAAAGAAAAGAGGGGCCAAAATTAATGACCCCAGAGTCTACCTTTAAAAGCTGGAAAAAAGAAGAATAAAGTAAACCCAGAGTAAACAGAAGAAAGGAAATGCTAAGGATGAGAACAAAGCTCAGTAAAATAAAACACAAATGATAGAGAAGAATCAACAAAGCTAAAAGTTGGTTCTTTGAAGGGATTAATAAAATTGAAAACCACAGGCTAACCCTAGACTTTTTTTTTTTTAATTACTTTTAGTTTTTCGTGCTGACTGTGCATGGACTGGTCCACATGGGTGCTGGGGTCGTACGGGTTACAGGGGGAGGCAGAGGAGAGAGCATGTAACAGCCTCCAAAGCTCCTCTGTTCCAGGCAAGCACATGTTCACTGCTCAGCGCTGGCCCCCCTGCTCATTGCTGGATCCTTCGGATGCTCTGCACTTGGAAGGTCTGGGCATGAGAGCCCCACTCCCGGAAATGCTTGTAGTCGCCTGAGTGGTGATCACACTCCAGCACATACTGAAAACCTCGGTAGCCAGGAAACTGGGAGCCAACCCAGCTGGAAAAGGGAAGAAGCAGACTGTTACCCTGAAGAGGCACCAGCATAGTGATTAAGACAGGGACAAGGGGACCCCATGCTGCAAACACACTCCAGCCATCCTGGACTTCCTTCCCT